GCAGTATGACTGAGTAGAGTAAAAGATGATTTTCATGGGTTCCTGAAAACTTCATGAGAACAGAGGGGGGCCATTAATCAAGATAAGAAATCAAGATAAATTAAGTAGCAGTTTCTGTCTGCTCTGTTCCTGGGGAAGAGAGGCAGAGAAGGTTCTGTTTTATTTTTGGAGTACTTATGAAATGTGAGACCATGTGGAGGTCTATTACCAAGTGATTTACAGAGGTGTAAAGCAAAGACAAGAGTTCTAGACAGCCTCTGCTGATGTAGGAATCAATACATTAAATTGATGCACTTTTGTTGGTTGGGGAGTATGTTTTGTTGTTTTGAGGTTTGTTTGTTTGTTCTTTTTTGAGACGGAGTCTTTCTACTTCACCTGGCTGGCCCTGAATTACTGGCAATTCTGCTTCAGCCTCCCAAGTAATGGAACTACAGGTACCATGCTTGACTCAAGTTGATATATTTTTAAAAATATTTGAAAAGTCTGTTTTACTTAAAACTGTTAATATTCTTTAAAAAAAATTAATCATTCAAATGAAAAAATCTTAATATTCTTGGCCAACTTATTCTCAAACTTCCTGTACCTCTTTGAAACTATTAAAGATTGAAAGGTTGAAGTGGTTAAGAGCACTTGCTACTCTTCCATAGGATGCAGGTTCAAACCCCAGCACCGACGTCAGGCAGCTTACAACTACCTATAACTCCAGTCAGGGGAGTTGATGCCTTCTTCTGGCCCCCACTGACACTGGCAGACACATACACACACAATTAAAATTAAAACAAGTAAATAAAGATTGAATAAATATCTACTTAATTCCAAATGATGAGAAAAGATGGGGCTTATATTACTAATTTCTACTTTAGTTATATTGCTTTTAAAACATATAAGTTTAGCTGAGCATAATGGTGCACATTAGCAGTTCCAGCTACCTAATTAAGTAACTGAGGCAAGGAGATCAACCGAGCCCACGAGTTCAAGACACATCAACAGCCATGTACAATGCAGCAAAAGCACCATCAAATTAAAAAACAAAACAAAAACAATGAATTTATACCATCTCCTCATAAACTGTATACTACTAAATTAACTGAAGAGAAAAACTGTTTAAAAGTTATACATTAGCCCTTGCGTGGTAGCACCTCTTATCTGAAGGCTTCATATGCTCAAGAGTTTGAGACCAGCCTAGACTATATAGAGAATTTTAGGATACAAACAAAAATGCTATCTCACAAAAATAATAACTGGACTGGAGACACAGCTCAATTGATAAAGTGTCTGCCTAGTATACACAAAGTCCTGGTTCAGTCTCCAACACTGCATTAAAGAGATATGGTAGCACATTTATGCAATCCCAGCATTCCAGAGGTAGAGTTAAGAGTTCAAGGCCAGCCTGGGCTTACATGAGTTTTATGGTCAGCCTGAGGGGCACAAGACCTATTACAAAAAGTATTTATAATGGGGCTGGAAAGATGGCTGAGAGGATAAGAGTTCACCCTATTCTTGTAGAGGACCCTAGTAAGGTTCCCAGCACCTATGTCCAGTTGCTCTAATTGCCTCTAACTCCAGCTTCAGGGGGTCTGACACACTCTTCTGGCTCCACACACTTACATGCACATAAGCACACAGAGACATTCTCTAAGAAATAAAAATAAATCCTTAAAATAGTAATAGTAGTAGTAAAAATAACACATTAGGTTGTAATTTTCACTACTAAAACTTTTGAAAAGAACGTAATCTAGGTATTCATGTGCTTTAAATATTGTTTCTGCCTGAAATCTTTTCCCTTATCTATATACCTCTGCCTCCAAAATTGACTACTAACACAAAACCAGATGTTATGAATTTTGGTCACAAATTCAGCTACCTAATAGCCATTTATTTAACATATCACAACTGAACCTATCCCTCTTTCATGAAATAAAAATATTCAACATGTAGCCCCACCCCACCACCACCACCCCACCCCCGCCATATAAGGGAAAAAGATTAGCAAGATATCTAGAATTCTGTCCTCTCTGCATCCTCTTCCCTCAAATCACCAATACCCAAATTCAGAACCATTATCACCTTGCTGACAGATTCCTGGCTTTAGCTTTATTCTACTCTTAGTCTGTTCTAAAGTGACTTTTAAAAAATGGAAATCTGAGCCGGGCGGTGGTGGCGCACGCCTTTAATCCCAGCACTCGGGAGGCAGAGGCAGGTGGATCTTTGTGAGTTCGAGGCCAGCCTGGTCTACAGAGCGAGATCCAGGAAAGGCGCAAAGCTACACAGAGAAACCCTGTCTCGAAAAATCAAAAAAAAAAAAAAAAATGGAAATCTGAACATTTTGGTCCCTCACTTCAAATCTTTCAATAATTTATCTGATAAATATAATTACCATGAAAACCAGTGACACAGTTGTAGCTCAGAGTCAATGAGAACATTACTTTAGGTACACTTCTCTGTATAGGTTCAATACAAAAATAAACCATCAGATTTTTTTTCAAATCATGAAAATCAATTATACATAACAGCTGATACATTTAAAATAAAGCATTCAAGAATTTTTGAAAAAGGACTGAAAATAAATCCAAGTCTATCAAAATGGAATACTATCCAGCCAGTAAATGAGGCTCCTCCATGCATACTACTGCTGAATGATCTCCAGGACTTAGCAGCATTATATGAAAAGGGAACCACTTGTGTGTAATTTGTGTATCAAAAGACTGTAAGCAGATGTAAGCTTGTAAATGCTGGAAATATCACCCCATACCAGTTACAGAAGCTGAAAAATAGAAAGTGAGTGGCTGGAAACTAGAGAAATCGAAACTTTTTTAAAGCTATATTATTCTTCTGAACCTTTTGACTTTTAAACTGTGTCTCATTAGTACCTACAATGTCAATTGATTTCTCCCCCTATATTACACACAGGCGCGCGCGCACACACACACACACACACACACACACACACGATGAAAAAATAAAACTTTAAGTACTAACTACAAATTATCTTATTATCCCTCACCCTTACATCAACATTAAAATTACATACTTAACACTTAATTTAACATTACATTTCCTTCTTGACATCTCAGGAGTACAACTTCATTTTATTCAATATTCCACTACTGAGAAGGCTATTAGTAATGACTTCAACACTGAATGACATTTATACTTGCTCCTTGGAGAAGACAGCAGCACCGGTTGGTAAAAATTACTAAAACGACATTAGTCTTCAGGGATTAAGAACAGCTATGAATCCTGTTTTCCTAACAAGTTCAAGAACAGTACATCCAAAACTCCTCTAGCTAAAACCTATGTATCTGTATAAATCTACAAAGAGGTGAGATAAATACTATATGGAGACTTGCTTATCATCCTTGGTGTAATGCAACTTAATCCTTAACAGAAGCCCCTAAAGCGTCAGACTTGTGCTGGTTCTTTCGTTCTACTAAAGAGACATGATGAGGGGCAAGCTGCTCGACCTTGTAATGGCACACATACCCTTCCTCTCTGGGCTTCCACACTCTTCTCTCTCTTTCCCTTTCAGCAGCCAGCCCAAAAGACATGGATCTCAGTCTGACCCTTTAAAATCCAACGGAGTGAATACACTGGACTAAGTAAATAACCTCTTCAAGTTTTCCTGGAAATCTCTTTTCAACCAAAGAAAGGATCGGGATTGGGTAGAAAACAGGCAACAAGGTTTGCTTAAGGAGTGGTCTTCTAGAGAAGGTACACCACCAGGGCATGAGGGAGATCCAGGACTATCCAGGACTGGTGATTTGAAGAGCTGCCCCAAGACCTACTAAGTAAGAGCATCACGACATTGGGGCTATCTGAAAGCTTGTATGGGTGAGAGAAAAAGCTGGCCAACTCTGCTGGAAGTAGGCTGCGGGAGGGTCCCTGGGAAGGCTGGAGGAGCGATGATTCGTAGGAGAACCAAAGATCGGGGACGTTGCAATGGGTTAGGAAGCACTAGCGGCCGTGGCTCCGGGACTGGGATCCGTTCAGACGTAACGGAGTCTAGAGGCTACAGTCAGAGTCCTAAGAGAGTCTAAAGGGGCAGGAGGGGGGGGGGGGGGCAGTGACAAGAATCACCGCGGCCGCTGGTGAACGGAACGGTGTCTGGTCAATGAAAGGTAGGAGGGGGGTAGAGTCTAGAGGGGGATTCGGACCGCATTCGGGCGTTCGCCAGGCTTGAGAGAGGCAGAGCCGCTCGCGGGGCGTCTCCGCTGGGGCGGGGCGGGACAGCCCGCCGGGAGCCAAAGAGCCGAGCCGAGCGGGAGACGTGGGCCGGGCCAGGCCGGGCGGCAGGGCCGCTGGGCGCTGGGGCGGGTCTTACCTCGGGCTGTGCCGCGGTGGCCACCACAGCCCCTTCCTCTTCTGCAGCAGCCGCTGCCCAGCCTCGGTTTCCAGGGTCAGGCCAGAGAAAAACAGCAGAGGCTGAGGCCGCCGGGGGTCGGACGGTTCCGCGAGGGTGGGCCCAGCCGCCTCAGGGTCCGAGCGAGCAGCGTCCGCGCATCCCCCGCCCTGTCACACAGAGACTCCGCCCGGCCTGGGCAGGCACATCCCCCGCCGCACCCCGCCTCGAGAGCACGCGTTGGAAAACGGCCGCCTCAACCGCGGTCTCCGCTTCTGCCCGTGGGGCCGGTCTCTCCGCCGCAGTCCCTCGCCGGTCCGGCCAGGACTTTCCGGCAGCCACCGCCAACTGCCTCCGCGTCCCCAGTCTCCGCCTGGGCCTGCGCGCCCGCGCCCGCGCCCCCGACCCCGCTCACGCGGCCCCGCCCCGCGCGACTCTCCGGCAGCAGACGAGCAGGCGCGCGCGCACTTACCTCCCACGCCCCCTGCTGCCAAGCCCGGGACGGCCCCGCCCGGCCCCGCCCCCGCACGTGACGCCACCGGAGCGTGGGACCTGCGCTTGCGCCGACACGCCCCGTTTCCTCCTCCTCCTCCCCCCCCTCCCCCGCGAGTGGCCCCGCCTCCCCCTTTCCTTCCTCACTTTACGGCCGCGCTAAGAAATCTTCCTTAGAGTCTCTCCGCTTCTAGATAGAAATGTCGTAAGGCTGGAGAGGCAAAGTCTGAGTTTGCGACCTTAGGTCTCACTTTCCGGCCAGTACAGAGATCCCTGAAGGCTGGTTGGGTTGGTGAGGCCTGAGGAATAGGTAAGAAGCCTCCTCCCTACTTGGGTTTGTCTCAGTTTGTGGAAACGGTGGATCGCTTGGCGGTCCACGCAGACTCTAGCCCCTTCCCCTTTCTGCGGCTGGATTCTCAGCGCCGCCCCTTTCCGCACACGCGCGCCCCTCCCCCCACTTGTCCCCGCCCCCGAGTCCAAGTATTTCTTTCCATTCATTCCACAGACTTTTCACTGAGTTGCTTCTCTACTGTAAGCCCCAGAATATCAGAAGGAAAGAAATAATCTCAGTTTTCCGAAGCTCTGTGATATAGGAAACAAAGAATCCGCAATCGTAACACAGTAAAGTAACACGGGATGATCTGAACACAAACGGGGGCGGTCCATGATTGCAGGGGAGGACTTTCCCCAAATGACTTTCGGGCCTATTGAGAACTTGGGTTAGAACCTGTAACTGGTCAGAAAAAAAAATGAGAGAAGTGCCATGACCATGAGATTGGCAGTACAAAAAAGCATGTGACGGCGACCTAGAAGAGCAAAAAATAAGAGGATTGCCATATACCTAGTATAAACCGCACAGGTAGACTTCCGATTAAAACAACCAGACTAGGTGGGGAGTTTAAGGCCAGCCTGGAGTAAATAGCAAAATCTTGATCACAAAAAAAGAAAGAAAGAAAAAAAAACTTACCAGAACGAGTGAAGGGAATGAAAAACCAGATGTAGGTGTAAAGACTGTCTTAAAAGATGCCACGCTCCCCTAGTTGGCTGGCCTGTAATCCCAGCTCCTGAAAAAATAAGAATAAGGCAGTTGGGTCGTCAAATGGGAAGCCAGTCTAAGCCAGTTAAAAAAAAAAAAAAAAAAGGCAGATGTGGTGGAACACGCCTTTTATCCTTACATTTGGGAACAGGCAGGCCAACCTGGTCTGCATAGGTAGTTTCAGGCTAGCGGGGGTACACAGTGAAACCCTGTCTCAAAAACTAGACTAGTTTAGCTCAGTTAATAGAACAAGCGCTCGGCTCTGGGTCGGTCTTTACTGGGGGTGAAGGTTTGACATGGAACCTGAGAGTAAACGATAGAAGGGTAGAGAATAGCAGTAGAGCACGAGCCTGTCCTTTAGAATCACCTGGAATGATTTTTAAAGTAAAAATGCTATTCCCCGCCGCCGCCCCCCCCCCCCCGTGCCGCCCAATTACACTAATGCTCCCTGGGTGACTAACAATAAGGGTACAGAAGTGATGAGAACTGGGAACAGACAAGAAGTTGAGGGAGTTGATTTCACAACCTTAAAGTTGGAATCTTCTGACACAGAGCTGAAGATAAGATGAGGAGCTTGAGCAGAATAGTGAATGAATTAAATAACTGCTCTGGGCACAGAGGGAAGGGAAGTCGCTGCCTTTCCAGTCAACACTGTTCCACAGGAGGGGGAGGGGAGGCAGGCGGTTTGCACCTAGTGCTTTGTGCATCTAGGCAGCGCTCTACCACTGAACTGCATCCCCAGCCCTCTTTCTGCTCTTCGCTTTTGGTTTTTGTAACAGGGCAGGCATGCCTTGAAACTGCCCTGTAGCCTAGTCAGGCCTTAAACTTTCAGATCCTCCCTGCATCGGCCACCAGTTCTGCTTCCCATCCCCAAACCTAATTAGATCCACTTCAGTTACTGCCCCTTCCTCTTCCTGGCAACCAGGTTTTGTAAGCTATGTCCAGTCTTTTCTTTTGTTTTGTTTTTCAAGACAGGGTTTCTTTATGTGGCCTTGGTGGTCCTAGAACTAACTGTAGACCAGGCACAGATCTGCCTGTGTCTGCCTCCCAAGTGTTGGGATTAAAGGCGTGGACCACCACCACCCTGGTACTATATCCAGTCTTAGAGCTCAAGAACCATCCACATTTTAGCCACTCCCCCTAGACATTCCTGTACACTCTGCCTTAACAGTTCTAAGTGTCTTGCTCATTTACTAATCATTGAAGTTAAGAACAAGATATAAGCTACACAGAGAAACCCTGTCTCGAAAAACCAAAAAAAAAAAAAAAAGAACAAGATATAAAGATGTTTAAAACACAGCCCTCTTAGAATTACAGATTGGGGTAAACAGACTTTTAAACAAAGAATAATAAACTTGGCAGTCAAAAAAGACCTGTGGGAGGTAAAGCCCAAGAAAGCATGGCTGCTATATATTAACTAAGGTTAATCAAAAAAAACCTGTCTGTCTGCCTCCAGATAAGAGTGATGTCTGATACAGCTACAGCATAGTATGAAGTCTAGGGGTGGGGGAAAGATGAAGATGATAAAACGTGTGAACATATTAGGAAGAGCCTTGAATTCCATGTTACAGGACTTAAGCTAGCTACTTTAAGCAATTTATAAATATAAATGGCAAAAGCTCTTAACCTCTTACAATCTAGATTCCGGGGCTGGGGATTTAGCTCAGTGGTAGAGCAGTTGCCTAGCAAGCACAAGGCCCTGGGTTTGGTCCTCAGCTCTGAAGAAAAAAAAAAGACAAAATAACAATCTAGATTCCTTTGGTAGTTTGGTCTGTCAACTTGATCTCAGAAAATTCATTTAAATGTATACAGTAAAATGCATAGAAATAAGAAGCCAATATTAAGTATTTAAACACCTTAAAATATGTAGTGTAATTACAGATGTACTTCTTTATGCATTAAGTAGCATGTAGCAACAAGCCTAATTATATAATGTCAAAGGAGTAATGAGTATAAATTATATTGAGATACTTGCAACGACTTTAATATGATATAAAAATATCAGATTTTTTGTGACAAAGACAGACTGTTAATGCTAAAATGATTGCCTACAATTATTGAAGAAAATGCTAACTTTGAGCCAGAATTAATTGAAAATGAAGGTACATTTTTTTTCCCAGTCCAAGGTCTTAGAACCCTTAAATTTTAATCACATCCTGCTCTATGGATCCCCAGCTTCAGAATAACCCAGTGTAATAGTTTTAAGCAAGAATATGGCATATCAGATCCATGTTTGGGAAAGATGATAGGTTAGGGTGAGGATAGGGAAGTGGTTACTTTTCTGTTCCTTCTTTACCCCGGGGCAACAACTAATCCAATAGTAACCCACTGTTCCCTAATAGCCAGAACCTTCATTGGCAGTAAGCTTGTGGATACATATACATGTAATTGCAATTCTAGAAAATTTTTCTGGAAGGCAAATTGGAGCTATTGTTGAAAAATATGTATGCTAAGCTGTAACTTCTTCGTCTGGAAGATAGTGAGATGTTAAAGTTTTGTAAGAATATGGTTGTAGTTCATTTGAAAAAATTAATGCAGAATAATGCCTCAGTTAATTATAAAAAAGAGAAGATAGAGTTGGGAGTGGTGGCAAAGGCTTTTAATCCCAGCACTTAGGAGGCAAAGGTAGTTAGATCTCTGTGAGTTCAAGGCCAGCCTGATCTACAAAGCAGGTTCAAGACAGTCAGGGCTATACATCAAGACCCTGTCTGGGGGTGGTAGGGTAGAAATGAAATGACTAGCTAATTAACTAATTTTTAAAAATTGTGGGCTGGAGAGATGGCTCAGAGGTTAAGAGCACTGCTTGCTCTTCCAAAGGTCCTGAGTTCAATTCCCAGCAACCACACGGTGGCTCACAACCATTTGTAATGAGATCTGGCGCTCTCTTCTGGCCTGCAGGGATGTGTGCAGACAGACTGTATACATAATAAATAAATAAATTTTTTAAAAAGCCGTTAAAAAAAATTGCATTGCCTCTCAAGGCTCAAGAGGGTATTGAAGTCTATACTCCCAGCACTTGAGAGAGTTAAGCTGGAGGATCCTAGAAAGCTTGAGCCCTGGGCCACATAGTGAGACTCTATCAAAAGAAACAGAGACAGGAAGGCGAACAGAAAGAAAGAAGCAAAACTAGATTGGAAAAAAGTATATCCCTAGTTTGGAGATCAACTCATACTTTGTATGGTCAAGAGGTAAACTCAGCGGTTAGTATTGTTCATACTTCTGTGAAGTAATGACCTAGCCACATGCTCAGAGATATTAATAACAGCCTTCTGATCAGATTTCATCTATACATGTGTGTAGTTCATTTTGGACTTGAAGTCAGGACACTTGTTGGTCATCTGCAGCCATACCACCCTCCACAAACCAGATCTCATCTGATCTCAGAAGCTAAGCAGGGTCTAACCTTGTTAGTAGTAAGATGGGAGGACACTTCTCTTCTTGCCAATCCTTTCAACACCTAAGGTGAGTAAAACTCATTAACAGAAAGATCCTCAAGGCGCAGATAACCTATCTCCTTCAGACACCAGTCAGTACTGGACAGTGTACCAGATGACTGCTAAAATCCCAGTTAGTGTCCAAATTATGTGCTTGTCAAGTATAGTCAAATTATGAATGTAGGATTTCAGTATGGCTAATCACAGTGAGTAAAGTTCCTTAACTTCCAGAGCCAGGTTCTCTGAGAAGCCTTCTTCAGCATAACTAGCCTGGATTGACTCTGTCTATCACAGAGTTACAGAAGCCGTCTGGGTGGTGATGTGGTTCAACACAGACTCAAGCTCTATAGAGTGTGAGGTTTGGCTCTTTGTCCCTTTGTGAGGTGAGGGATGGGAACAAGACCATCTAACAGCAGAAATAACACTAAAAACTAATTTTTTTTAGGAATATTATTACATCAGAAAACTTCCACAAGGTCCTTTCTATGACGTCCAATTAAATGGCTACTTTTCTCATAAATATCTCTTATAAAGGTACTACATCATATTCTGAACACCAAGAACCCCTCAGTTGTCTCAATTAGAGCTATTATCTTGGGTATCTGTAGTATAGGTTCAAAACTCTTAGTCCTACCCTCTCTGATAGCCAGTGAGTAAAACCCTCTCACAGTGCTCTGATAAACTCAGTTCTTCCAAAACAGAGGCTTGGGTATCTCTAGCCTTAGCTCATTTTCTCACCAGTATTTTTGTTTGTTTTTGTTTTTGTTTTGTTTTGTTTGTTTGTTTTTGAGACAGGGTTTCTCTGTGTAGATTTGGAACATGTCCTGGAACTTGCTCTGT